ATATTTCTCTAGGAATCTGACAGGACAGTAATTAGCAAAGGCACCATTTCATCACTAAGGTTTTTATGCTTTAAGGTCTCATAGCAAAGAAAAAAATAAACATGTAAAACCATTTACATTTTTTTCATCTCTCATTTCCCCTTTCAAGTCTTTAAGAAGTTATTCTGAACTAATCAAAAGATAATATTACTTATCTCTCTGTTTATCAAAAATTATGCGTGCGCAGAAAAAACATGGTAAACGGAGACCCCAAACATTTAGTAGTTTTCATGAAGGATGTTGAAAACTGAAATATATATGTTCTGAAACATATATAGTTCTATAATCTGAACTCATTATATTATTAAAGAGTCAAAAAGAGAACTGTATTTCAAACAACATTTGAGCCAGTCACCTTGCAAACCTCAAAATAACAGTCGTTCTAGTTGGCCAGTGTAATCTGTGGGCTGTTTGTTTGAGAATGAATTAATATATAACAATCCTTGATTAATTTGTAAAGAAACAAATCATGAGGATACGGTAGTTTATTAAAATATCAACCCGCAGGAACACTACACTGTGTTTTCAAAGTTCACAGCAGACACCGGTGCAGTTCATGCAAATGACTGCGGGATGATTTCCTGGTCACATTCATTACGACTAAAGGCGCCTTTACTGTATTAGAATGACAGTTTATCCAACCGAGAGATAGCCAGGTATTTGTGTTTTTACAAATGCCAAATAAACAAATGAAGCCCACACAAATCTGTTGACAACATTTGCACTGACGTTATTATTCAGATAAATGGAAATTATTAAACTGAATAGCATATTTATATTTAGTTTGGCTTATTTATAGTGTAAAGGCAATCAATTCACATTTGAATTAGATATATTAAAAGTTATATATATATTTAAAAAAAATTTAAATAATAAATGATACAGCTGTATGCAATTTGCAAAAGTGAAAACTCATGATTTGATGGTGTATTACTTCCACATTACTAAAAAATGTTCTTGAAAAATGTTTAACTAACTGGGAGTCATTTTGAATTACATGTTTACTATGTTGTTGTTTCACTGAAACAATAGGAATCTTTCTATTACCTGAACAAGATTTGAACAGCGCCTTTCAATCCTCATTTCATTCAACGTAATTCTTCCCCTAATTTAAACAATTATACATCCAGGGCAATAAATCCACCCTGCAATTTGCCCCTCAAACTTTTATGTGAAACCCTTTGTTTAAGCTCACACCCAAACCAGCATATTCAGTCGAAATCAAAGTCATGTTCAAGCTTGCATCAGATAAAAGTTCACCTTTTGTGACTTTTTAATAAACCTTTAGAACTTGGTGCAGGACAATCCCACATGCTAAATAGTTTCAAAAGTCCAGCCTAAGAGGAATCAAACCTGTTTGGTAGTTAAAAAAACTAAAAAAAAATTAAAAATCACATTTAAGATGCATTATATTATAATACGTTATATTATAGAATTAAATTAAAGTTGACTTAATTAATTAAATTGCAATATAAATGTGCCCCCAAAATGAAATCTAGATTCAAAGATAAATATTGTTTTACCATTGTTAAAATATTGTTTATAATATGCAATATAACTAAAAGCGCTAAAGCGCAATAAAAAATTAAAATGCGTAAAAGCATGCAAAACTTAATGCAAAACAAATGAACACAAAAAAAAGCAAAGTTGCATAGCAAGTCTTACCTAAAGTGTCCGAGTTCACCGTTATGACAAAAGCCAGAGAGTGATGCTCGTTTTGATGGGCGGCTGTCAGATTGTCAGATTGCTGAAGCGTTCTCTGTTCTAATGTTCTGATGGAGGCCTGGTTAATTTCCGCTGTGGGTCTGAGCTCATCTCAGGGTAGGTGGAACAAAATCTGGAGGTTTTTGGGAACACGTAGGCGAAGAGTGAAAGTCTCATGGCACTTTCCAAACGACACCTCTCACGTGCGGAAAGAGATGTTACCATTTCGGACAACACAATGTGCCATTAGGGATTATTTATAGAAGGTTTCTCTCAAGTGCTAAACATTTAAGGCACAGCAACAGAACTTTCCACATTTGCATTGCTTAGACACCGTGATTGAAAATAAATCAATAAAAAACTTTAAATTCAAAGTTTTGTAATTAAAAAAGGAAACCATCAACAAAAACACACCAATGCCAAATTCCGACACCATTTGACTGTCTCAACAGAACGCAGACAGTCAAAGCGTGAAGATGATTTTGATGGACAGCCGCAATGATGGAACGCATTTATCAGCGCGGGCTTCTTTGGCCTGCTCTGTTTGATTTCATTGATGTTGTGGCAAGCCCTGAAAAACTCTCTAAACAAGCTATTGTCGTCTCTCTCTCATCAAACCCCGGCTCAATAGGACACATGAAACAATGCAGACCCGAACAGAAGAGGTCAAAGTTTGACTAACAGAAAGAATGGACTTTTGTTCATCCTCCTGTCCTAGCTAAACTCTCTACCCTATGGGAAATAATGTCACGAGGTTGTCCGTCCATCAATAATGCAAAGGATTCAGCAGAAGACAACTTTTTTCAAACGGCTCCTGAATTTATACTTTACAACTTCAGTCTGCATCGTGTGACTGGCTGATCAACGCTGACACACGTGGCATCGGCAGAAGATACAATTAATGGAGTCCTCCAGCTGAAAATGAGATGGTAAGTGTATATTTAGAGCTTAATAAAGACAAAACAGTTGTGTCAGCCCAGATATATAAAAAAAGGCCAATTAATTGGAAAAGGACAATATTTGGCCTCTAATATATAATGTTCTTGGACAATTCAACTTCAGACTCATTTAATGAATCACAAGTAAAATAAGTGTTTGTATTCTTGTCTTTTCAACTTTTCCCATCAAAATTGTGTTACAATAACAACCATACTGCGTTCTAGGTATCGGTCACTGGAAAACCCCTACCAGTCAACCAAGCGGGCTCAAAAAAGCTTGCATTTTCAGTGTGCTTGCCATCCAAAGTGCTGCAATGTACTGTAAATTTCAGCCTTGACACTCAGATAAGAGCACAACAGAGTTGGTATAAATCAGCTTGTGAAGTGATCCGGGCTCGAGACTTTGCAGAGACCGGATGTATAGGCCCGCTGACAGCTAAAGAGAACCAACACTGGCTTCCTGACCTCTCAAACTGAGTACAAATATACAAAGAGATGGATAAGAATGGAGGTGAAACAGAGAGGGGTGAAGCAAAGAGGGAAAATAAGGCATAGCGTAAATATTAAGATGGATAGAAATGAGGGGAAAAGCAAAAGGTCAGAGACTCCCTGCTGACAAGCAACATTGTGCGCAGTCAGCCACTGTGAAGCCAAACACTCGCGACCACTTCGCCAACTTCCCCTTTAATGATCTGTCGACATGCCCGTTCCAATGGAGGTGCACAACTCAGGTGCTGGATGTTCTTGTCGGCTGGGATACACACAGGGATAGGCTGTCTGCACTGGCGCGCCAGGCTTATTTAACCTCACACACACACACACAACTTGGACAATTAATGTCTACTTAGAACTCATTATCAAAGTTTTACACCTATTCCGCGATTGCGCCACAGTCGGTCTGCCCTGAGGAGCTTCGCTTTCTGGTTATTCCGGAAGGCTGATATTCTTCAACATAGAGATCAACAGAAAATCTGTCAAACCTGTCGGCTATCTGAATAGCAACTCTTAGCAGGTGCCAATAAAAACAAAGAACATGTTCAGATGATGATTAATATCCATTGAATGCATGCTACAATCATCTTCATGTTGTACAGTGATGGACTGATGTATGGTCAGGCCAATTATCAGCTTATTTTTATTGAAAATAAGCAAATGCAAAATGAAACAAAAATTTATATAGTGTAAGATATGTGGTTATGTTAATATTTTTAGTGCATATAATTGCTGTTTTTCAACTGTATCATGTATAATACCACCTGCCTACTGATATTTTGATATCGACATCTGCCACTGAAAGGCCCATATCGGTCAACCACTAATAACGTGAGCGGTGAATTTCTTTTAATTCCTTCATTAGGGTCTAAAAAGCACTTACAAGTTCTTGGTTAATTGTTTATGCACTTTAGAGCACATGAATCACTATTAGACCTATTAATCATATTCACAGGCCACTTTAAGTTCAATCCAAAACAAACCATTTAAGAAGACTAAAACACAATAAAAAAATAATAAAAAGTTACAGCGTGAGCTGATCTCAAAATTAGATAAACTATAAACATAAATGGGAAAATGTGCATAGGAAATGCATTCAATTTCCCATTAAACCATAGGCATAAAAGTTCAAGTCAAATTGAGCAAGAACTGCACTGAAACAAAACAAAGAACTGCTTCTTTCTTAACATACAATAATATGCTGTAATGTCCTTAAGATTAAATATATTTTTGGCTCACATTAAAAGGATTGTTCAGCCATAAATAATTTATTTCACACTACAGTTGTTCCAAACTTCTGAGTCTCTTTCTTCTGTTGAACACAAAAGAAGATATTTTGAAGAATGTTGATAACCAGACATTGAATCCCATGACATTTTCCACAGCATCAAAATATCTTCTTTTGCATTCAAACGAAAGAAAAAAATAATCTTTGGAACAACTTGAGGGTGATAAAATAACAAAATTTGTATTTTTGGGTGGACTATCCCTTTAATAATTAACTGAGTATACGCACTGACTGAAAGCAGGTTGTCATTTCCCATCCAACCGTATACGCTACATACACACACCACAGGACAGTTTCAGGTGGAGAAACGAGTTCATTTGATGTACAAAAAAACATTTAAAGTGATATGTGTTTACTCAGCGGGTTCTGGGACATTTTGACTTGACGGATGCGTAAAACTCTCGCCAAGGACGGTCATTCAAAATTCTCGTCCAAATGAACTACTTCTGTTGGTTTTGTATACCTCACAACAAACAGACTAAAACGTGTCAAACACTCGTGCGTAAAGTTTCAAACAAAGCGCCATTTGCCCCACTTACCAACTCCGAAAGAACTGTGCGCTGCGCGTTGCGCTCCCCAAACTTTATTCCTCCAGTCTTTCCGTAGTCTCTGGGCCCGCAGAATCGATAACGTCGCATGCAAAATGCGGTTTCCCCTCGTGTCAATGAATAATACGCCTCTGTCTATCAACGGCTTACAGAAAAACCCGAGACTCCAAGCGTACAGCTGATGAATACGTCGCACTCTCTCCGATCCAGCCTCCCTTCACTCCACACTGACTTTCTGGTGTTCAGTTTCCAACATTCTCGGTCCTGCTGCCTGTCATTCACCTCCCTCTTAAAGGGAAAGCTCTTCTCTCTGGGTTTCCCTTGGTAGAAGGAAAAATGCTGGATTCCTTGAAGGGGGAAAGGGAGATGCTCAGTCCATGAGTACCTGCTGTTTCAAGTTCAGCTTTAATGTGATCTTATCCTTTGCAAACGTATCTTTAAGGAAAAAATGATGAACTATTAACGAAAAAAAATCAATTTTGGGGGGAAAAAACATGATAACATTACATGTTGTTTTTATTAAAACCACAATATGACTTTAGTACTTTTTTGTGGGTCCGTTTTCAAGCTAGAGTAACTCTCATTTGCAATGACATGAGAATAGGTAATTTTTGGAGTGAATTGACCCTTTAAATGCTAAATGTACATGCTAAATGAGGGGGAAACATTTTATCAGTCCAAATATTTAATTCTGAAAAAAATAATAGATTTAAAAAATATATAAATAAATGTAATTTTTTAAACAAGTGCGAAATGCATTATTATGACACAAAACCATAATACGGATCGATGTACATGATCTGGAACTTTAGTGGTTTTTTTTTGTTTTTTTTTTAAGTAAAGCCAAAAGTAACTAGTTTTGATGATTTGCAACGACATGAGAATGAGTCATTTTTGGGGCGAATTGACATTTTAAATGCAAAACGTATTGATGTATGTTGTGTGTCATCTAAAGAATTGAGGGGGAAAAAAATTAATTTGTACAAATAATTCCAAAAAAGCTTGTGGAAAATAATGTACAATCTGTATTTATTTATTAAAACAAATGTGAAATGTATTATGACAAAAAAAAATAGTGGTGTGACATATCCATGCTTGCCAAAGCTGTAAATCCTGACACGTAATACTTAAACATTTTGAGCAAACCCTCAATTAAGACCTTTCCAACAGCAGAGTCATTGTAGTGAAGTTCTCAGTAACGGAGGGGCTCCATCACAGTCGCCCCACTCGTGACATTTGCACGGGGGCCCGTTAGCCAATCTGAGTTCTTCAAAGCGCTCCAGACCTGCGTTTTTATGTCTCTTTCTGTCTCTTTTTCCCCCCAGCGCACGCACAACTAGCCATCGCAGCGCAGGGGTGAGAGCGCAAAGCCGATGTGCCATTTCTAATCCCCTCTGTTCCTGCCTTTGTGTAGTGGCCCAGCAGGAAGTAGGAGCTGGGCAGACAACAATTAACAAAAGAGCTGTGAAGAATACAATTAGCCATCAATAGGAAACCACAGGCCTTTGTGCCTGTTTCCATGGAGATGCTTGACTACCACTATGCCAGGATTACAGAACCTTACCCCCCCTCCACAACACCACCACTTCTTCAGTGTTTTTTTTCCACCCCGTCTTTCTTTAACCCTCTCCATCCTTCCTTTCTTCCTCTGCCTTTTATATCCACCTCTCTTTCTTTATTTCCATGTCACTCTCTAGTCACTAAGTAACTCTGGGGGCTTTAGACGAGCGCTCGCACCTTTGTTCTGCTCGGAGCCTTTCAGGTCTTCTACCTTTGTGTCCCCCGCTGGGCTGAGGTGAAGGTGGCGACTTTTTTTTTTTTCATTACTCTCTCCCATTTTCTTCATTTGTCCAAAGGATTACCCAGAATGAAGCTTTGTACGGGGTTGAGAAAGACCTGAGCTGATGAACGCCGCCTCAGTGTTCTAGCCCTTGTGAAAAGGGTTCATGAAAAAGAAGTCTTTATTGTCCATCTGGGCACTGTACGTTTCAGCATGGACCCCGTACCCTTTGTCCTGGAGTCCATAGTGTTTATTAGTGATTCATGCTGTTGTTTATCAAAGATAAAGAGTTTTTTTGTTCTAAAAACTTGTTACAAAGATTGCATTTTCGGTGTGGGAACGGTAGGATTCCCAAAACGTTCCTGAAACATTCCATTTATGAATCAGAACAAAGTTCTGTTCAAAATTCTATTTATCGGTCAGGATTTAACAAAGTTTTCGAAGAAGTTAATTCCGCTAGAGTTTTATGCAAAAGGCTACTAATGTTTAAAACATTTAAGCAATGTTGCGCTAGGAACGTGAGAATTTTTGTTAAAAGATCATAACGATTTTCCACAAACTCTGTAAAAAGTGATCACACTGTAAAAAAATATTGATGGTTTAACTTAAAAAAGTAAGTAACCTGGTTGCCTTAAATTTCATTGAAAAAGTTCATTGAACTGGAAAAATTGAGTTAATACAATGAAGGAGATTAATTTAACCATCAGAAACTCAAAATTATATGTTATCTGAACTAAATAAATTATTTAAGTTGATTTGACAAAAGAAAAAATGTTGTGATTACTACACTGTAAAAAATATTGTTGGTTTAACTTAAAAAAGTAAGTAACCTGGGTTGCCTTAAAATGTTAAGTTGATTTAACTAGAAAAAGTGAGTTAATACAATGAAGTAGATTGATTTAACCATCAGAAACTCAAAATAATAAGTTATCTCAACTAAATAAATTATTATAAAGTTGATTTGACCAAAAAAATATGTTGTGATAACAAATCTTGAAAATATTTTTTTACAGTGAGTTTACAACTTAAAAAGGTGAATAAACTCATTGTCTTAAAATTAAGTAAATAAACTTCATGCATAATTAAAAAAATTAAGTTATGAGGAAGTTTATTACTTAATTTTAAGGCAACAGGTTTCCTCATTCTTTTTAGAGTTAAGTCAACTGATCACTTTTTACAGTGAATATTCTTTTAAGAATGTTTGTTTCAAACAGCAGCAAAACCTTTAGGACAGAAAAAAATACTCCAAAAAAGTACTTGAATAGAAAACTTGAGTTTAATGACACAAAGGACAGGCATTAAGGTGGTTTATATCGCACCTATCAGACCATTACTAGTTTGTCTATTTAACCGGGGAAAAATGTAAGATTGCGTCAGTAAATTATGGGGTGCCACAAGGATCCGTGTTAGGCCCTCTGTTATTTTCAATATGCAGCCACTTGTAAATATTATAAGAAAACATGGAATTAGTTTTCACTGTTATGCCGATTCATTATAAAGATTTTCCATAATTATTCTTTCAAGAACGTTTGTTTCTAACAGTTGCACAACCTAACGTAAAACTCTTATTTAATGACATATAAATGTAGTATCTCTATCGCCACAGTAACCTCACAATAAATTTTAAAGGTGAAGTGTGTAATTTCTGCACCATTAGCATGACCAAATAAAATATAAGATGTGGTAAAGTAAAACAAAAATAGAATAATTGTTTCAGACTGGGATGCTCAAACAAACACAGCATTGTTTCAGTGTTTTTTAAGGAATCCACCTATGAATGGTTTACTTGTGTACTCGCACAGAGTATGTTTCTGGACGCTCCCTATGAGCGCCCAATGTCAGGACAGGCCTTTGTGCATCAAAAGACTGGCGAATCCAAACACTCTCGCAAACATTTCTGCAAAACCGTGGCATTTACAAATGCAAATGACTCCATAGAATGAAGACGTTAATTCAGTCTTTTGGAACACGACCAAACGTTCTTTAGACCCCTTGTCTTCATTAAACACAGCCTGCCTGTCAGGCCTGTAAGAATCACTTGGTATTCTCCGCGCTGCACACTATGGCAATTAGGCAATCATTGTGACTAATAAGAATAATCTCACATTGTGGTTGCAAAAATGGCATACATTATAAAAAGAACTTTGGGAGCGGATATGCCTGTTTTCTGTCTTCCTGTTTGCTTGTGTGTTGCTGTGCTGTTTTACCCCACCCTATTGAAGATCTTTATCTTTATCAACACATGCAAGTGTGTCTCATATAAAGCATTATTAAAAAATGTGATTCGTTTTCTTTGTTTTCCCACTGAACAAACCCGATTATATAAGTAGAGATTTTGTTTAGGATACAAACTTGCTTATTTCAACATGTGAATGATTAACGGATTAGAAGATGCTGATTTCGGCAGTACACTGTTTTACCACAGTGATGTTATCAGGTAGGCGGGCATACACTGTGCGATTTTCGTCCGATTTTGAGCCGAATTCTGACTCGTGCGACTCATTTTTGTGTCGGACCGATTTTCAGCTTTGTCGTGCGTCGTTTGTCGTGCAGTGTACAGGGAGAAACGAGAGGCGATTAACCTCTCACGATCGACAATCGGATGGTCGGATGAATTTCTGGCATGTCAGACATTTTGGTCGCTCCTCGTGACTATATCGCACAGTTGAAGCAAAGCTACGAACCGATTGCCCTAAACTCAGTGTTTTTTCCCTCACTGCACCTGCGCGAAAACAGAAGTTTTACCATTTCATCTGCAGCAAAAATAAAATTAAAATAAAAACGAGCTACAAATTACTGTTGCTTACCTCCAGTTCGTGTTGCAAAATGGATATTACCCACCGTCTTCAAGCCACCTGATATGTAACACCTCTTTTAAATATTATTTTTTCAAACAATGTTTTTGAAATAAACCTGTTTTTAATTTTCATTGATGATTAATAATGGCAATGTTCGGACATATTATAGACTGTTAATAGTTATTTTATATGTATATAATTCATTGTAATCGACCTACGAATGTTTTAGACAATTTTTAATGAGGAGTAAGATTAATATTTTATTATCCTCACAGCACGTTGGTTATGTGCTGTGAAAATATTGCGTGGCAAATTAATTATAATAGCGGATCAATTTAATAGTAAAATTAGCCTATAGGCTTCCCCTAATAATGATAATATAATAATAATAATAATTAAATGCATAAATTGAAAATACTAAATCATCTTGATACTGATAGCAGATGCTTGTTTTGACAATATCTCTGGATACATACACGTAAATAGGCGCAATCCAGGGGGTTATCGCAGATATTACACGTATAGCAGTGAAGTCGCAGCTCGACGATCGGACCGTACAGTGTGAGCACATAAATCCTGAACTTTGGCTTTGTTTGCATCGCATGCGATTTACTCGTTCAGTGTGAGTAGGTACCTTGCTGAAATCGCACAGACATCGCACAGTGTATGCCG